GTGGATGTGTATCTCGAAATTGGCCAGGGTCATAACACTAAGCCAAAATGACCAGTTGCATCATGACACACTACGTAATGACTCACTATCAGGAACACACAACCTTTTATTCCATGCCTTCTCAAGAAACAGCAAGTCATTTACCATTGTAAATTCGTCGGAAGTTACCTATCTTTCGCACGAAATCTACGAATGATCTCAGACATAATTGGATCTTGCTGATAGGCTTCGACTAGTGATCGAGTGAGTTCGTTAGATATGCCAAACTCGCTCACTAAGGCCCCCAGATAATCTGCCCTACGTGATAACGCGTCAGCCACCTTGTTGTACTCTCCCTTGATTGGATCAAGTTGATAGTCATACATGTTTATTACTTGAATCCACCTCTTGAGTGCATCCAAGAGTACCGGCTGTGTCTTGATACAGCGCAAGGTCTCATGGTCAGATCTTACATAAAAGAATCTGCCAAGGAGATAGTGTCTCCAGTGAACCAGTGCTCTATACAGGGCATAGAGCTCACTTTCGTAAGTGGACCTGGCTAATTTTTGAGATGGCATTTTTTTACTCATATACTCGATAGGTCTCTACTTTTCCCCCTCCTTTTGCGCAAGGACCGCGCCTATGACATATTGGCTGGCGTCTGTGGTCACGACAAAGGGCTGACCAGGATCCGGGAGCTTGAGGACTTCATAGTGTGTTAGGGCATACCTCAATTTCTTAAAGGCTGCCTCACACTCTTCTGTCCATTCCCAAAGGCTGTCAAGTCAAGTTAGATCTGTTAATGGGGAAGCTATAGTACTATAGTTCTTCACAAACGGATGATAATAGCCCGTCATCCCCCAAAACGATCTGACCTCAGTAACAGTCTGAGGTTTGGGCCAGTCACGATTGCTGGCCACCTTTGCATCATCTGGCCTCAACCCATCTGCTGAAATTTCATGACGCAAGTACAAGATCTTGGTGCGCCCAAACTCGCATTTCTCCAAGTTAACCTTGTACTGGTGTTGTCTTACGAGACCTAGAGCGTGTTGGAATGTCCCAGGTGCATTGCATAGGCCGAAGGGCATCACCACAAACTCGTACAGACTGTACCTGGTCTGAAATACGGTTTTGTGCTGGTCCTCAGGTCTAATAGCAATTTGATGTTATCCGGACGTTAGATCTATCTTAGTAAAGTACCAGCATCCCTGCACTCTATCCAGTAGGTCATCGATGCGGGGTAGGGGCTTTGCGCTCTTAACAGTGATGGCATTGAAGCCCTTATAGTCAATGCACATCCTTAGTGTACCTCCCTTCTTAGGAACAAATAAGACTGGCGCACCGTAAGGGGAGGTACTAGGCCGAATCCATCCTTTTTCTTTGAGCTCCTTGAGCTGGCGGCGGAGCTCATCCAACATCCTACAGATTCGTCCTCTAGGTACTTTACTACCTGGGACAACCTCTATTGCATGGACCACCTCCCTTTCTACCACGCCTGTGGGCTCCTCAAAAGGGTCTGAATATGTTGCGACGACTGATTCTATCTCTGGGGGTGTTTTTATGACCTCCCCTTTCTCAGAGACAAAGACTAGATACATGCCCTCCTCGCGATTCTGCTTATAATAGTTATAAAAAGATTATGCACACATGCACCCGTAGTTTTCTATTAGACTGCTAGCTTTAAACTTTTGCAATCTAACAGTTCTACCATTGGGCAATTCGTGAATCAGCACCTTTCTATCCCAGTCGAACTGAGGTTGCGCGACCTCGAGGTAGTACATACCTAGGACCATGTCAAAGGGCAGTTTGTCGCTAACCAGGAATGAGATTTTATGGCTCATTTCCCCTCCTCCATAGGAGAAGGTACAGACTACGTCCCTGACATAGTCTTTAACCATCATTTGG